GACACAGTGTTTACCAGAGTGTCTGTCCGACACAGTGTTTACCAGATTGTCTGTCCGACACAGTGTTTACCAGATTGTCTCTCCGACACAGTGTTTACCAGAGTGTCTGTCCGACACAGTGTTTACCAGATTGTCTGTCCGACACAGTGTTTACCAGAGTGTCTGTCTGACACAGTGTTTACCAGAGAGCATGACCACTGCAATGTACATCCATCAGTGGGGAAAATCGGCGCAAAAATAAAAACAGAAAAGTGCAGTTTGGGCATAAAGCAGATTTCTCTTCAGTGTTAAAGAATGTTGATGCCAGTGAACCTGAGAGTTCTGGTGCCGACACTGTCTATGTCATTCACGGTCAAATCACAGGAAACTTCATATCGCTTTTCTCTAGGTGTATGTGGTGGTATAATGTTACTTCATAAATTATTATAGATCATTATTTTGAATTATCCATTGATACTATAAACTTTTCCTTTCCCTTCGTACAAGCTCTTACATTACCCAGACCAGTGATACTTGTTTAGGTTATTATCTTGTTCGACCAGTGTCGAAAGACTAGGGGACTCCATTGCTATAGGTGATATGTGACTGACATTAGTACCTCTATGGGAGCTAGTTGTTACAAAATGTTATTGGTAGTATTATTTGCATTACATAAGGTTGATATTCACATCCAGTAAGGACAAATCTGGACAGGTTTATAAGCTAGGGGGACCAGTCGGGGTCCAATACCTTCAGGGGATCAAAGAGTTAATATTGGGCTTTCTTTGAGATGATCCAATCCAGGCAGATAGCTGATCATGACATAACTTCAGGAAATAGCAAAATATACTGGTAGGTTAAATTGTCATAAGTTAAATCCTGCAAATGTATCACATTGTACATGTATATCTCTTGGGGATGAATATGTGGCCAGTGCAGGATCTCCCCACGAAAAATTGAAAATCTTTTCAAGTATGTACCAGATAATTAATATTAAATTAGGACAGAATTATGCTTCATTACTATAATCCTTGAGAAAGTCTGTAAAAAATCATTATTTTAAGGAATTTTGTGTCACCACTTAAAATCTCTAGGGTATACATATTTAGTCCCAGACTGGTAAATTTGAGTCATGTCTGCAGGATATTGATGAATGCTACGTATGCAGCCATCTTGAAGACATCAGAAGTGTTAGACACAGGGGAACCTGTAAAGGTTGTTCTGAGATTATGCAGATTATAAAAATAATAAATATCTTTTTATTTTGTAGTCATGTGACGACGCGAAATACACAGTGACGTCAAGAAGCATCTGATCAACATGTCTTCTACTTCCTCCTTGCCAAACCTTGACCTTGAAAAAAGGTCAAGGACTGAGTCACCCTCTGACTCGTGTGATGAACACATGCAACATGAAAAGTTTGATCCATGTCAGTTACTGGAGAGGTCACAGTCTGATGCTTCCTTGACCAAGACAAAATCACAAACGTCGCAATGTAGGATGTCATACACAAAGACACAAAACACATCTAATTCTGCAGAACAGCTGGAAAAACCAGAAAAGAAAAATAGAGTATCAGAAAGTTCAAGGGTGTATTTTGATCTTTCACAAATAGACACAATGATTGAAAATGAAACTGTTTCTTCTTCATCGTTCACTCATACAGATTCCAGGTCTAAGTTAGTCCTGGGTCAGTCGCTGGAAACCATCCCGCAGGGCGAGGAGCTGTCCCTCAGTCACCCCTCCTCCCACTGTATGTACTCCGCATCCAACGAAACAGAATCAGAGGCAAGTGAATTGGACAGTGAAGATTATGAAGACCTGTCCAGCTTTTACAAGAAATATCCAATAGTTATCCCTTCAGTGCTGTCGTCAGATTCTCATCTTTCTTACCACTATAAGAACAACCTAAAGCTCACCTACCAACAGTTTGGCCAACACCTTGAGACTCACATTACAGCCCTCAAGAGTGCCAGCGCTGTGGAGGAGATTATGCATCTTGGAAAGATTTTGAGTATACTAAAGGAGGCGTGGAGTGTGGCGGTGTACGGCCGTGACCTGGCCTACGGTCTGTGTGACGTGTTACGTCTGGAAGGTGTCCTCGATCTGATAATAAAGAATTGTGGATCGACCAACCATGACCTTATGGTGGCTTCAGCTGCACTACTAGAACAATCGTTATCAACGAAGAACCGGGAACGTGTCGTAAAAACAGGACTGGAAGCTGTGGTGGGCATGACGTACAAGGAAATCGGTAATACAGACATGGCATTTATAAGTACAGGGATTTTGGAAGGACTTTTTAAAATGTCTGAAGAAGCTTCAACAAAAATTGTGAATCTTGGTGGATTGGATGTAATTCTACACTGGTGCCGGAGTTGCACCATAGATATTCTCCGTCACTGTGCCAAAGCCATTTCTAACCTGTCCTTGTTCGGAGGCATGGAAAACCAGGAGGAGATGGCACGGCATAATGTGCCGGAGTGGTTATTCCCCTTGGCGTTTAATGAAGACAATAATGTTAGGTACTATGCTTGTCTAGCTATTGTGGTGCTGGTTGCCAACAAAGAACTTGAGGCGGCAGTAATAAAGTCTGGAACCCTCGACCTGGTCATGCCTTTTATAAGCAGTAACAAGCCAGCTGATTTTGCCAAGAGTGATTTTTCACATCAACAAGGGCGCGACAATATGTGGCTTGAGCGACTTGTTCCCATCTTATCTAGTCATCGGGAGGAACCTCAGGCCCTGGCAGCCTTCCACTTCGCTATGGAGGCTGGCATCAAGGCAGAGCAAGGCAGACTTGGGGTATGTGTTGACAGAATTTCTTGATTTGTTTTTACCAGTGTAATGTTTTGTAATTTTTTTTCCTCTGTAAAACTGTTTGATCAGTCTTTTAGTTTATATTGTGTTAGTTTCATTAGAGTTAATGTTAATTAGTTGAAATTGCCGTTTATGAATACATCACACAGTACTGTTCAGTACTGAACAAGTACATGATGATTGTATAAAAACATACGAAATAATTTTGAGGGAAATTTCTGAAGTCCCTCTCTAAATATCAGGGTCTAATTTGGCTGCCATAACCTCTGTTCATAACTGATTGAAAGCCTTTTTAGCCCACCATCATCAGATGGTGAGCTTTCACCCTTCGTCTGTGGTCTGTCGTCAGTCAATTCAACCGTCCGTTCTTTGACAGGCAGCTAAATTTCTCAAATTTTACAAGACGGTTACCCAGTTATGCATTTCAAATTTTGTGGCTCATTGGAAAACCAAGATGGCAGGCAAGTGGCTATTTCTCAAAAAACATTGAGAGATCTTTCTCAAATTTCACACGGGGTTAAGTTTGTTATCGCTATTTAAACAGATAACCAATACAGAAGTAATGAAGATGGTACAGTGGTGGGCGGGAAGATCCCTCTAGGATCTCTTGTTTATATTAGTTTTTGGGGGTTTTCCTCAGATTTATGAAAATTTTAACAAAATTTAAGGTGCTCATTTGTATTGAAAGTTCTTGGTGAATTTGTGAAATTACTCATTTTTGTTTGGTTTTGGCCAGATATTCTATGATATTGATGCAATAGAACCACTGAAGAAAGTGGCGAGCAGTCCGAACGCCAAGGCTTCAAAGTTAGCTGCCCAGGCTCTCAAGATCATTGGAGAAGTGGTCCCTCACAAGCTTACACAACAGGTGCCCATCTGGTGCCCCTCAGATGTCGCTCACTGGGTCACGCAGGTGAGATACCGTTATACTAGATTATATGATGACAATGGTGATATAGCATTATACCTGACTATAAGGTTTTACCCTGGTGATATACCATTATACCTGACTATAAGGTTTTACCCTGGTGATATAGCATTATACCTGACTATAAGGTTTTACCCTGGTGATATAGCATTATACCTGACTATAAGGTTTTATCCAGTTGGAAACCATTGTCACATGGTCATCTGATGCCTTATGATCAGGAACTATTGTCACATGGTCATCTGATACTTAATGTGTCATTCTCACATTATCATCCAGATAAGTACTACGGACGGACAGAAAGACAGACAGAAGGACAGACAGACAAGTACTATGGACAGACAGAAGGACAGACATGTGACGGCTATATTCCTCCTAATTGTTTTTGAGTAGATTAAAATGGTCAGCTAGATTCAGCAAATGCCATTTCTTAAACTTTGGAAAATAATCCCATCCGTCTGACTTGTATGGCTAACACACTAAGTTAGTTTCCTTGTTATTGCTTTGGCAGTTTCTACATCACAGGAGTTTTCCCTGGTTCATTGAATCATTTGTTTTGCTCTGTTGTGATGTCACGTGCATGGTACGCAGATAAAACAGTACCAATGAGAGATTTGTCTTACCTTCATTTCCAGTTCTTGTCCCAGAAACTACCCTGGCCATAATATTGTGAACTTGCCTGTAAATATTTATTCTACAAAATGATGTGTCAAATTATATGGGTGTATCACATGTGAAATGAGGTCAAAGGTCATTTGCTTTTGTATAAAAAATAGGGTAAAAATCATTATTATTATTTTTATTTTGAGTTGATCAGTAAAGTGAATATAATGATTTTTAACCTTCTTCATCATTCATTCATGCCAGTTTATATGATAACATTGTGAAATATTCTAATCCAAAGATTGGATTCAAGACGTATGCCAGCAAGTTTCAGAATTGTCAGGTAGACGGCGACCTTCTTCTGCTGCTGACAGAACAGGAACTGGAGGAGAGCATAGGCATCAAGTGTCGCCTGGCCCGCAAACGGTACATTTTATCCGAAAACCAGCGTTAGCTTGTTGCCTGTCCTTAAATAGGAAAGGTGTGGTGGGAAATTTGATATCTCCTTATTGGGTTATTCTGTCCTGTTTTAGTTTCTGACTGCAAACATAATCCATGCTTGTTATACAAGTTAGTAAAATCTGATTGGTCAATTTAATTTCCGTGGCATTTATTAGAAAAATTTGAAGGTCACAGGAAACCTAAGTTTTATTCCTCATCATAAGATGGTGGCCTGAATGTCTGTGGTCCGTCTGTGTCTCGGTGTCTGTCTTCCGTTATTAAGATATTCATGTTACTGTTATTTCTTACGAAGCACTGGACAAATCTTCTTCAAATTTCATTTGAAACATTTCCTTGGTCTGCATTTGTGCATGATCCAATTTGAGTCTTGCAGCCATCTTAAATTTTATCAGTCAAAGTTTGTTGTTGCTGTTTCTCAAGAAGTACTTTACGGACATATTTTTCTAAAGTTCAGTATGTACACTTTTCTAAGTCCTTAGGTGGGTTTTTTTTCATTTCAAAATAAAAATAAAGATGACCACCAGGCAGACATCTTGAATATGACTAGTGAAGTGTGAAATAGCTGTTCCTTTGAAAGAAAGTTGCAGATTTTTTCTCATATTTCATCAGTTACTCCATGCTCCCTAGTTTTGTGTATATTTCATTTTGAGCTTCAAACAGCTAATGATCAAAAAAAAAATATGGTTGCCAGAAATCAATCACTATGTATATTTACTTTGAAAAGGACAATGTCAAACACTTGTGAGGTTTTGCTCAAAATTAACCACAAAGTGTATTGACTGTTGACATGACTCAACTCAACAGATCAGAGAAAAGATCAAACTTACTTAGGACCAATGAAAATCTTACTATGGTAGACACCAAGATCTATCTGGGGGCTTATCTTGTCAGTAGGGCCGATTAAAACCTCATGTTGTTATAACATTTCCCTTGACACTGTTGTAGATTTATGCGGGAACTGTTGAACCTGAAGATCACAGCAGACTACTCGTCACTGGACCGTAGCCAGCTCGACTCCTGGCTGACACGACTCCAGCCTGAAATGTCTCAATACACATACTACTTGTTGAAGCAGGGAATGACCCGGGACCTCCTAGGACTGACCACCGACCAGGAGCTCATGAACGTCTGTCATATCACCAACGGTATCCACCGACGCCTCATACTTGAACACGCCGAAGGTAGGTCACATCTCCAACGGTATCTATCAACACCTCATACTGGAACAGGCTGAAGGGAGGTCACATCACCAACGGTATCTATCAACACCTCATACGGGAACAGGCTGAAGGTAGGTCACATCACTAACAGTAGCTATCAACACCTCATACTGGAACAGGCTGAAGGAAGGTCACATCACCAACGGCATCTATCAACACCTCATACTGGAACAGGCTGAAGGAAGGTCACATCACCAACGGCATCTATCAACACCTCATACTGGAACAGGCTGAAGGGAGGTCACATCACCAACGGTATCTATCAACACCTCATACGGGAACAGGCTGAAGGTAGGTCACATCACTAACAGAATCTATCAACACCTCATACTGGAACAGGCTGAAGGTAGCTCACATCACCAACAGTATCTATCAACACCTCATACTGGAACAGTCTGAAGGTAGGTCACATCGCCAACAGTATCTATCAACACCTCATACTGGAACGGGCTGAAGGTAGCTCACATCACCAACAGTATCTATCAACGCCTCATACTGGAACAGGCTGAAGGTAGGTCACATCGCCAACGGTATCTATCAACACCTCATACTGGAACAGGCTGGAGGTAGGTCACATCTCCAACAGTATCTATCAACACCTCATACTGGAACAGTCTGAAGGTAGGTCACATCGCCAACAGTATCTATCATCACCTCATACTGGAACAGGCTGAAGGTAGGTTACATCTCCAACAGTATCTATCAACACCTCATACTGGAACGGGCTGAAGGTAGCTCACATCACCAACAGTATCTATCAACACCTCATACTGGAACAGTCTGAAGGTAGGTCACATCGCCAACAGTATCTATCAACCCCTCATACTGGAACAGGCTGAAGGTAGGTCACATCGCCAACGGTATCTATCAACACCTCATACTGGAACAGGCTGAAGGGAGGTCACATCACCAACGGTATCTATCAACACCTCATACGGGAACAGGCTGAAGGTAGGTCACATCACTAACAGTAGCTATCAACACCTCATACTGGAACAGGCTGAAGGTATGTCACATCACCAACGGTATCCACCGACGCCTCATACTGGAACAGGCTGAAGGAAGGTCACATCACCAACGGCATCTATCAACACCTCATACTGGAACAGGCTGAAGGGAGGTCACATCACCAACGGTATCTATCAACACCTCATACGGGAACAGGCTGAAGGTAGGTCACATCACTAACAGTAGCTATCAACACCTCATACTGGAACAGGCTGAAGGAAGGTCACATCTCCAACGGTATCTATCAACACCTCATACTGGAACAGGCTGAAGGTAGTCACATCACCAACGGTATCTATCAACACCTCATACTGGAACAGGCTGGAGGTAGGTCACATCTCCAACAGTATCTATCAACACCTCATACTGGAACGGGCTGAAGGTAGCTCACATCACCAACAGTATCTATCAACACCTCATACTGGAACGGGCTGAAGGTAGCTCACATCACCAACAGTATCTATCAACACCTCATACTGGAACAGGCTGAAGGTAGGTCACATCACTAACAGTAGCTGTCAACACCTCATACTGGAACAGGCTGAAGGTAGGTCACATCGCCAACAGTATCTATCAACAGCTCATACTGGAACAGGCTGAAGGTAGGTTACATCTCCAACAGTATCTATCAACACCTCATACTCGAACAGGCTGAAGGTAGGTCACATCTCCAACAGGATCTATCAACACCTCATACTGGAACAGGCTGAAGGAAGGTCACATCGCCAACAGTATCTATCAACACCTCATACTGGAACAGTCTGAAGGTAGGTCACATCGCCAACAGTATCTATCAACACCTCATACTGGAACAGGCTGAAGGTAGGTCACATCTCCAACAGTATCTATCAATGTCTCATAATGAAATATCAAGCCAAATATAATCTTAACGCAAACTGTACAAATTTTGACAAAGTCTAGGGGAAGAATTTGACAAAGTCTAGGGGAAGAAGACTAACATCTTCCTTATTCAAGGCTATTGTAATGTTTGTACTGTTTGTTTACAGATCTCTACAACTGTCAGATCCAGCTGCCAAAGTATGGCAGTATCGGAAGTCTCAACCGCCAGAAAAGTGTGGATGTAGCAAGTCTGATGGCATACCCAAAGGCTGTCGACGTCTTCATCAGCTATAGACGGTCCAATGGCTCTCAACTCGCTAGGTATTAATTAACTAGACAGGGAAAATATAGAATCTCAAACATAGCTCACAGCTTGCTCACGATGGTAACTGATACAGGTTTGTATTACTTTAGCCTGTTTCTGTTTACGATGGTAACTGATACAGGTTTTGATTACTTCAGCCTGTTTCTGTTTACGATGGTAAGTGATACAGGTTTTGATTACTTTAGCCTTCTCCTCAGGATGAAATTTTTCGCGAATTTGCAGGTCAATAATGTGATAGCAGAAATATGATCTTGAGAATAATAAAAAGCGTAAAAATGATAATAAACTTAATAACTCTAATGTCGCCATGAAATAAACTGGTGAGTAATTGGTTGCATCTACTAGTTTTATTGATGATTTGTTTAACAAGATACATTTATTATTATTGCTGTTGCTCAATATGCTGTAATAAAACCCATTCATTTGACTATTTGACATTTTATATGCTGAGAGTGGTGTCTATGTGCTAAAAACTCTGCGAAAATTTAGTTCGATCATATGTCCTGATTGTGAAATTAAAATCTGTGTATATTTAATTTTGGGTCAAAATCGCGAAAAATTTAAGCCAGTTATATGGGAAGTAATAAGGGTTTTGATTTCTTCAGTCTGCTCAAGGTACATCTACAGTTGAGAGGTTTCACAGTATTTATCGACATAGAACGGCTACGTGCAGGAAAATTTGATGAGAACTTATTGATGAACATCAAACTGGCTCGCCACTTCCTGTTAGTTCTGACTCCGGACGCACTGGATCGCTGTAAAGGGGACGTGGATCAACAAGACTGGATACACAAGGTAGGACTGTTGAGGGTTGGTAAAGGGATACACTGCCCACAGCGAGTGTAGGGCATTAAGGCAATACAGGTCTGGCTTCGATATCACAAACATTTTCTCAAATCTCAAGCTTGAATCTTAAGTTTGAACTCAGCTAAGATTTACTGCCAAACAGATATCACCAGGCTGGAAAAACTTAAGCTTGGCTGGTTAAGCTCAGCTGAGCTTGCTGACGTAAACTTCCGCTGAACTCTTCACACAAGAAAGAGCACATTTCTCGCGCGATGTCGCACCTGTCGTCTGTCAAATCACATGTTTACGTTGAAATAGTTTTGAAAGATTTACTATTATTAAACGAAGAAGAGGTACAATCTTCGTGACCTTTTTTTAAAAGTACAATCATACTATTTTAAACTACATCTGTCTACTTCACTCAAAATAACCCAGAACATGCTATAAACATGTTCCTGTGATCGATTCCTACGACTGCAAGATGTTAGAAAGCTCCTGTGATGAAAATAAAGATCAATTTGCATCCTGTGTGATCAAAAAGATCCATTTGGAAATGAAGATCTAGAGGAAATGGTTACGATTGGTACATTACTTTTACTTTGTACGCGATACTTGGTATAATGACGTACACGAGTGTCCTCGATGCCATTTTGTCTGTGCTTAAGGTAAACCCAAGAACATACGGCTGGTGCAACACAAAACGGTCGAGTGTTATGATTCTCTTCTATAAACTTAGGACCAGACTTACACTTCACTAAATTAAGTGATTATTAAGACATTTTTTTGTAAAATTTGAACTCCTATAAATCACAGGTCTACCAATGGAGACTGGGAGATGTATACATAGTCGTGATACAAGACTATTCCTAGTAAACACTCACTTTATTGTTGGTACTTCATGTGGCATTGCCTTTTAAATGTAGCTATAACCCAGTACCAATATTCCTTGGATTGCACAATGTACATCCAATTACATATTATATTTTGATGTAAAAGTGTAACGCACAGACTTTTTAATGTGAAGCCAAAAATATTTGTTGTCCTCGATTTCCTTAATTCATTAAATTTTACAAATAATAGACTTACATTTCCACATCTATTAAATATGGGTTTCAAAATTTCAACAGAAACAATATCCATTTCTTCTGGTTCTGTTACGTATGTTGTGCTTGATCGTCACTTGAATCACTGTTGTAATTGACAAAGGTTGTGGGAAGTGAATACTTATAAAGGTGAAATGTGTTAAATACAGAAAATGTTGTATTATGGAAATGTCAGATAAGTGTTTTCAAATCCACCGCCGACCTTTTTTCATACTTTTTTAAAAATTTCGATTAATTCATTTTTTATATTAAAGATCTACTTCAATAATCATGTTATCTACATATATGTACAGTCTCGTACCTAATTGAAGTTATCTACATATATGTACAGTCCCCTACCCAATTAAAGTTAT